TAAGGTTACCATGTACCTCAGGGGTGTCTCTCCAGTCCAATGGAGGTAGCGCCTCGCGATTACATCACAGATACCCTAACTCCTTTTTAAATATAAGCTCATAGATTTGCAATTGGTTTTTCAAAAAGTTTTTAAGTTTTTCAGAAAATGAAATTTAAATCGGAAGATTAAAGTCATCTCTTTTAAGTTCCAACTCAACACAATTTTATATTTTTTTATTATTTTTTTTTCTCGAGGTCAGGAAACCCAACGCTTAAAAAGCAATTTTTAGGATTTTCAAATCTCCCATCACTCTTTTGTTGTTGTTTAATCTTTCAACTGACTAAATTTGAACGAAATTTTTCTTTGAGTTCTGTCTCCCCATCTAGCGAAAATCAAGCTGCCAATAGATAAGAAACTTTTACTTCCAGTTGGTCGGCTGTGTCCATTTTCGAGGTAAATATTAAACTCTTTTTAACTTTTCTTCTTTTTTTGTCTGAAAGCTCATAGAAGGAGGAAAACGAAAAGTAAAGTTTTCACTTTGATGGTACGTGGTAATCTTAGGACGTTCCATAGCTATCTCAAACGTGACCGAACTTTATATTTTGGTGAACCCTTAAGAAAAAGAGCCCCCACAACCTCACTTCTACACACAGCTCATAATATCACCCAATAGCAATTACGAAAACATAGATTGTACAAACTACTTCTTTTATGCAAAAATCATCGTAGAGGAAGGCTGCAGAGTACAAAAACTGATTCACTTAAATTTCATCAAAAACCAACAAACAAAATATTAATANCTTCTTTTATGCAAAAATCATCGTAGAGGAAGGCTGCAGAGTACAAAAACTGATTCACTTAAATTTCATCAAAAACCAACAAACAAAATATTAAAAAAGCTCTTTCAAATAGAAATTGTGCATCCCTTGTCACATTCGCCATATCGTCATTAACATTGAAGCTAGGAGGATTAGGATATAGAAGAAGGCAGCGTCGCCGAGTGGTCAGCGCGTCGGACTCGTAATCCAGTGGTCCCGGGTTCGAATCCCACTGACCACTACCTGGATTTGTCTCGTGGTACCCTAGTTCAAATACGCAGTCGCGTTTGTAAACAGCCAACTGGCTTGTCTCCGGCTAGTTGGGATTTTTAGCAATGTTATTTTCAGTTCAGGCGAGTGGTTCCGCAGTAAACTTTGATAATGTTATGACGCAATTTATTGTCAATTAGAGTACAGACGCATAAAAATTGAAATTTTATCTGTCTGTATTCTTATTGATGATTAAAATGAGCCAATCAGCGCGCGAGAAATTAGACAGTTATTGCAAAATATTTGTTTTAGTTGTTTGCTCGGCCTCACTAGCCTTTGAGCTATAAACACTGCCGAGGGTAAATAAAGGTTATTATTGTTTATTTATTATTATTTATATAAGCATGAGTGTCTTGTCCAAGGACATGTTGATCCAGGTAAGAAACAGACCCGGACCTCTGAACTGACTGCTTGTTAAGCCACCACGCCTCCCAGTGACAAGTAACTTGGTAAAACATGGTATAAACTAAGTACAGCACTTAATG